TATATATATATTCTACACTTTTGTCTGACTTCATTTGGATTAAGACGGCAAAATGTTGTTATATTCTATGTGATATAAATGATTTTCGTGGTATAAATGTAAATAAAAAAATTGAGTGGCATGTATATAAATTTAATTTCTTTATAATAATGAATTTTTTTTAATGTGATACAAGCGATTTAAATGTAAAAAATAAAGTTTAGGTGTTAGATATGCGAAATACGTAAAGTTAGGCGGTATGTATGTAAATGCCCGTGAATCAAACAGTTCCTTAGAATAGAAGTCATTTAGCCGATTCAGGGGTTGAAATGCCAATTCAATCCGGCTTTGGGTGATTCTGTGCGGGAGGGTTTTTAATGCCAGCTGATGTCTGGTTCATGATTTGATCCGTTACAGAAGCAAGTTTTATATGGGAAATAAATTTTAGCAAAAGATACTAGTTTTGGAAGATTTGATGTTGTAAATGAGAAATCAGCTACAGAGTCAAGTTGTGACCATCGGAAATATTGAAGCACAATTAGAACAACATATCGCAAGGGATGTTACCAAGCAACACTATGTTGAATCCTAAGAATAAAGGAAGGGAGCAATGTAAGAATGTGACACAAAGGCAAGGAGTTAGAAGAATTACCTAAGTTTAGGAATGCCACTTAGGAGAATAGTGCAAACATTAAAATTAGAGGAGCCTAAGTCTAAAAATTTAAAAATCTCTAGCGAATCAGAACGCCTTTTGGATTAGTTTGTTGAATCATGTATCGTTACCAACATTTTCTCAAAGACTTTAGAAACATAATTTGGATAGATAATTTTCTATATTGTGAAGGTGCCATGATTAATATTTTATTTGTAGAATCTCTTGAACAAATGTCTAACTATGTTAAGCTGTGAAAATTTGAAACTATTGCTCTCATAGAGGAATATAATGCCAACATTCAGAGAAAATTATCCTCGAAGCTTAAACACCCTAGTTGTTTTAACATTCCTTAAAACAAAGGGGATGACTTTTTTGGAAAAGTTTTATGTGACCTTAGAGCCAGTATAAATTCCATGCCTCTATCCACCTTTATAAATTTGGGTCTAGAAAAAGTGCTACCTAGACCTATCAGCTTACAACTTATTGATAGATCTCTTACTTACTCTAGGAGGAAAATAGACGATGTTCGGGTTAAGATAAATATGTTCATTCTCTTTAGTGATTCCATTGTCTTAGAAATTGAAGAGGATAAAACATCGTCTATTATCCTAAGGGGACCATTATTAACAAATAGAAGATTCATGATAGATGTTCAAAAAGATAAATTAACCATGTCAATACAAAATCAAGAAGTCACCTTTAGTGTTTTGAAATCAATGCAATTTTTCGATGAACCTAACGATCAATGAATGCCATAGGATAGAGACGGTGGATGAGTTAGTGGAGAACCAAACTGATAGTGCAATCATTGACTTTAAAAGATTCAATTGAAGATGAAAATGAATATGTTATATACCTTCAAACTACCTCTAGAATCTTTAGGGAGAATTCAGAGCCTTTAGATACCTTATCCATAAAAGAGCAACTGAAGTGAGCAATTGAGGAGGCGCCTAAGATAAATTTGAAAGTTTTGGCAACTTGTTATGCCTTCTTAGGACACAGCTCAATTCTTTCAATAGTTATGTTTGCCGAGTTAGATGAGCTTCAAGAAGAGAAGTTAATGAAAGTATTTAAGGAGTTATAAGATTGTATTGGTCGGACCTTTGCAGACCTCTATAGAATTAGCCATTTCTTATGTATGTATAGGATATTCATGGAAGAAAATTATGTACTAAAAACAATTAAACCCTATAATAAATGAGGTGGTTAAAAAGGAAATTTTGAAATGGCTTGATGCATGTATCATATATTCTATTTCTGACAGTACATGAGTTAGTCCTACATATTATATGCATGAGAAGAGAGGTTAAACTGTTACAAAGAATACAAGAATGAGTTAATACTCACAAGTGTGGTAATTGGGTGACATTGATTATTGGAAACTAAATAATATCACAAGAAAAAAAAAATATTTTACTCTTTCTAGATCAGATGTTAGATAGGCTTGGAGGGAACTTGTTTTACTATTTTCAATAAAACTATTTAAGATATCATCAAATTCTCATTTCTCTCGAG